GAGTTACCATGCTTATTAAGTACAGGCAACTTTAATTAACCCCTTACATTAAATCACAGTGAAAAAGGTCACATGGCAGTGTAAAGTATAAATATGATGCATCTTTCAGTCTACTTTGAATTTTTTAAAACTGCTCATTACGTTTGAAATAAATCTTTCCAGTGCTGACTCAGGTCACTAACAATTTGATCATCCTACCCATAAAAAGATAAATTAATCACACATACCCCTGCGCTTTAAGATAAACTCATCATTTGGCTCTCATTTTTTATTTTTATTTGTTTGCACTACTGTAATACATAGACAGGACTGTGCAGCACTTTAAAGACTAACAAGATGGTTTATTAGGTGATGAGCTTTTGTGGGCCAGACCCACTTCCTCAGATCAAATTGTGGAAGAAAATCGGCATGACCATATATACCAAAGGGATACAATAAAAAAAAGTGAACACATAAAATTGACAAATCAGAGGTACGGGGGGATAGTGGGATGCTGCTGAAAAGCAGCCCCTGTCCACAGGGATCCCAACAGAGAGCTTCCCCCCACCCACTCTGCAGACATGGACTGCTGCTGCCAAGCAACCCCTTTTCGCGGCGGCCAAAGGCTGCTCAAGCAGCAGCCCCAGTCTGCAGCCAGCCTTAACTACTATGAACAAGGACTGGTGCTGGAGCAGTCTCAGTTCACGGTGGCCAGAGCTGGCTACGGACAGGGCCAGCTCGTGCTGATCGCTACACCTCTGCATTTTAAATGTAGTAAAAGCTCTGTAGCCAACTGTGGAGCTGAAGTCAATGTTTTTTGTTTTTAAGAAAAAGATTTGTCCTTACCTTGATCTGACTCAGACATATTTAAAATTCAGATAAGTTATCAGACCCAACTGTCCTCATGCCTTAAAATACAATTTTATTCTGTCTTTGAGAACAATTCAGTGCCCAGCTATTTACCTGGGCTGGCTCCAACTCCCACTGAAGTCAATGACAATTTGTCTTTTGACTTCCTGGAACTTGCATCAGATCCTGGTCATTTATCATTCTGTTTATTATTTTATTAAGAATACTTAAGTAAGATGAAAGTGTCACGCTTAATTGCCACTGAAATATAACTGGATTTTCTATAAATGTAACTTATACTTTGAACTTGATGGATGTAAATCATTTTGGTTTTCTTTTGTTTATTAGTTGAATTAAATGTGCACTGACTGGTTATATAAACACTCATTCCAATATGTCATGCAGTAATTTTAATCACACAAGAGACTACTGGAATGTTGGTCACTTTCACTGGAGTACTGGGCCTCTAATTAAACTAAAGATTGATTTAAAAAACAACTTAATTAAAACTCAGTATGGATGAATGAAATCCTATAAACTGGTGTAAATCTATTTAAATAAGAGTCAGGAAAGTTGCTTTGCTATTCTTCAGTTTCACAGGGGGTTTTAAGAACATTGGATTAAAATAGTTACACAGTATTTTGTACATATTTCTGTACACCTGAGTTTTAACTTTATGGGAAAGACTTAAAAAAAACTCTCTGAAGCCTAGGATAAGTCATGATGATGTGAGCACCCAATTTGAATACACAGTTACCACTATACTATCTAACTAGCTATTCATGTACATAAATATCTAATTTGCATGTACAATTGTGGTAACTACACATGCATAGTTTGGGTGCACATTTCTACTGCCTTTTTTTATGTGGCTCCAGAGATACTTTCCATTTGGTTTGGTAACATAACATTGAGAACTTAGGTTCAAATAATTAATTGGGTGACAAATAAAAACTAATTTCATGTCTCCTCTTATTCACATAGGCTCCACTCCTGAACATGGGGAATGCAGTCTTCTAGGGTATTTAAGAAAGAGAAGGTCATATCAGAAGTCTGTGCATTGGGGAAGGCTTGCCTGGCAATGTACAAAGGTAGGAAAGAAGCTGCATCTTCACCTTTTGTTCAGGAGAGAATTGTGGAGCTGCTTGGAGCACTGGGGAATGCCTATAAATACATAAATGACAATGGCCACAATTTTCCAACCTGGGTATCTTAATCTGGGCTCCTAAATTTATCTCCAGGAAGCCTGATGAGCAGAAGCGCTGAGCCCCTCCAAAATCCCATTAAAGTCAGTACTCTTTCTCCTTGCAAGAGTGACCTGGATGTAGTGCCCAAGTGATCAGTGTCATGACTACACACTCTGCTTCGTCTGCACTCGAGAGCATGGAAATGTTTTCTGAAAAATAATATTCTTTCCCTTGTGAGTGCTGGCTACTACCTCTGGTTTAATTTTGCTCTAGAACTTAATCTATGCACTCCATATATTAAATGATTGTCAGTGCCTGCCAAGGAGAAGCATAAGTACAATAAAAGATGGTGTCAACTGTAAAATAACCCACAAAGTTTAGGGATAGAGTAATTTGCAGGAGATGAGGAGGCAAATGAACTTGTAATTGGAGTCCACTTACCTTGCACAAAACATAAGAGGCTACTGTTTCCCTTCTTCCTCCAATTATGCTGTATTTATTCTGTTTCTTGACTTCCTGCCAGCAGCTCCATTGCCTGTACGGTTAGGTGTGATAACTGCAGATATCGCATATGCTATATCTTTAGAACTATAGTTTGGCTTTGTCTATGGTTTAGAATACTATCAGTGCCTTTGTATCAAGAACTGTTTTTAAAGAAAGTCCTCATTAATGTGATCTAGACTCTGGTCAAGTTTTGACAGTACTAAGGTTTTAAATAGGGATGTCAGAGTATAACCGATTAATCAATAAACTGTTGCTAATGATCTTGGTTATACTCAACTGGCTCCCGGGAAGGTGGCTTTGCTGAGGCAGGGCAGTGAAGCCACCTCCCTGGGAGCTGGGCAGACAAGGGCTGACCAACGGGGAGGAGGTTTTGCAGTGCGGGTAACTGTGTAACTGCTGAGATTTTCAGCAGTTACACGGTTACCCGATTACACAATTAACGTTCCTAGTTTTTAAAATGGATGAAGAGGGTGTTCGAATTCTTATATATCCTAGTAGGCTGTTCCCACTAATGCTGGCCCAAGAAATACCACCTGGAATCTTTCTTCTATACAAGGACTTTTTGTGGGCCTACAAAGTACAGTGACTAAGGCCAAAGATCTTATATCTATTCTTGGTTGTAGACATGGCCCAGTTGATCTCCTAAGTACAGCTCAAGTTCTGAGCAAACTGCCTGTCCCCAATACCAGTCAATCTTCTTTGTTGTATTAGGTTCCCATTTAGCCCTTTCCTGCCTAATTTCAAAAACTGCAGTCACTGGGTTAATCATGAAAGGCATCCACAAACAGGAAATTTCTTGGTAATTTTACTTCAGGGAGAGGGTGGAGTAGCTAGAATTTAAATACAAAATAAGAGCTATCCGAGATGAGAATTAGGCAGATGAATCAGTGGGTGTGGTCTGTTTTGCTTTTGAAAGGAGACTTAACTGGTTTCATTTTTCTTTCCTGTCAGATTAACATCATTGGGCTGGATTCTCCAGTCTATCAAGTTCATTTTGCCTTCCTTATGTGGAGCAAAGTGATCTGAAAATGGCAGGGGATTTGCGCTGGAAATCTCCCTCTGTGAGAGTAATCTCTGCCAGCACAAAATTGACAGAGCCACCTCCTGTGTCAATAGTGCTTCCCAAATCCACTTCTTCCTCTGATGGACCACCTTGTACTGGTGCAAAGGGAAGCAAAGGATGGGTGTGTCTGGGAAATGGGTTGTAGGGAGGAAATATTTTGTTTTAATTTAAAAAATAAATTCCCTTGCCATTTTAAATTAAGCCAGAGCCAGGCAGCTGAGAATCAGGGAGCTGGGATTGGCTGCACCTCAATCTCTACTCTCAGTGGGCGTTAATTCTGCTTAGGGGCAGTGGCAGTTCAAGCCTGTGACTTCTTTTCAACAGACAGTTAAAACTTTTAAAAAACAACAAATAGTCTAGCAGCACCTTAAAGACTAACAAAACATGTAGCTGGTATCATGAGCTTTTGTGGGCACAATCCACTTTTTCAGATGAATGGAGTATTAAAGATCAAGTTCCAAAATAGATAGCGGATGGGTGGGGTGGAGAAGGATGGGTTCTAAACCTGTAAATGAAGTTAAGTTCCAAAGCTTCCCAGTGTATTTGGCTTGTGGAATTGGCCTGAAACAACACAGTGGCTGCATCTAGACTGGCAAGATTTTCCGCAAATGCTTTTAATGGAAAAGTTTTTCTGTTAAAAACATTTGCGGAAAAGAGCGTCTAGATTGGCACGGATGCTTTTGCGCAAAAGCACTTTTTGCGGAAAAGCGTCTCAGAGGGCTAGCTGAGTTAGTCTGCATCAGGAAAGAGTTTAAAACAACAAATAGTCTAGTAGTACCTTAAAGACTAAATAATTACATGAGGCTGATAAGAACCATTAGTTTGCACTTGGACAGGAAGATGACCAATACCACATTCTACACAGATATCAAGGACCATTGGCACCTTCATTGTTTGGTTGGTTGATAATGTGCGAGCCATCCAATATCATGATTCATACCATTTGCATGAGAATTAAACTTTGTGAATGAAATTAAGTTCTGACCTTTCTCCCTGTATTTGGCTTGTGGAATTGGTCTGAAACAAAACAGCAACTTGGAGATCCATTAAATAGTGTCCAGAAAGATTAAAGTGTTCTCCAACAGGTTATTGTGTGTTGCCTTTTTGGATATCTGATTTGTGTCCATTAATTCTTTCCCGTAGAGACTGTCCAGTTTGACCAATATACATTGCACTGGGGCATTGCTGGCATTTAATGGAGTAGATCACATTAGTGGATGGGCAGTTAAATGAGCCTCTGATTTGGTGGCTGATGTGATTGGGTCTGGTGATGAAATTGCTTGTGTAGATGTCTGGACAGAGTTGGCACTAGGGTTGATTGCAGAGGTGGGTTCCTGGATGATTATGATGGAGTTGTGGTGCATGGTTACTGGAAAGAATTTGTTAGAGGTCCTGTCTGTAGGCGAGGATTGGCCTTTCCCCCAAGACTTGTAAGAGAGAGGGGTCATTTTCCAGGATAGGTTGTAGATGGTTGATAATGGGTTGGATGGGTTTAAGTTGTGGGCATACCCATCACAAAGATATGAATAGAGACATTACCTGGATAGTATATTACTTTCCACATCCTAATGACTTAAAAAAATGGGTACTTAAGAACAATTTGCACTTTCTCTATAAGTTTCATTTACCAAGAACACTCTAATTGACTTTTTTCCCCCATCCCTATTTATTTTGGAACTGGAGCTTTAATACTCCATTCATCTGAAGAAGTGGGCTGTGCCCACGAAAGCTCATGATACCATCTACATGGTTTGTTAGTCTTTAAGGTGGTGCTAAACTATCTGTTGTTTTAAAAAGTTTTTCCAGTTACAGACTAACTCAGTATCCCTCTGAAGTTAAAACTGAGATAGGTTTAAGAAGCAGGTGTTCTTTTGCCTGTCACCTTTGGCACAAATTCTTCATTGTTATCTATCTTGTGCCTTAGGTGTACATGGTGCTTTACAGGTTACCATTAGTGCTATCTGCTTAGATCCGTGGCAGAGAGGTGTGAGCCTTTGACAGTTTATTATCTATGAATGCTTGTTAACTAGAACACATGTATCTTTTCCTTTTCTTCTACCTGAGTTGGAATGCCCATGAAGAGCCTATTTCCCCTGCTTAAATGTAAACTGAAATGAATCTCTTACAGTATGTCCTCTCTTCTCCACTTCTGTCTTTCAGATTCTAAGCTCTTTCAAAGAAAAAAATGTCCTTCACTCTGTCTTGTATAACATCAAGGCAGCAAACTTAGAAACGCAACAAATATGGCAACAAACAAAAATAATTTATAAGCATTTTTTTTAATCTAACAAGACTTGAGTTCATATTTCTGGCTTCTTTTGCTTCATGTTGCTAAAACCCAGAGCACCACCTTACATGATGCTGCATTCCTTACAGTACTGCATTCCTCTGCTGCTGTGGTGCTCACAGTAATTGCATTTGTTACATGGAGTGGCATTCTTTCCAGGGATTTAAGTGTTTATGATATGAATAGCTGTAGCAGGAAACACACAGAGGATGAAACACATTGACTTTAATGGGATCAATGTCCTGTCAAAACAAGGGGAATTTACTTGCATTTATTTTCAGAAAAATGTACTGGGAGGAAGGATTTTTCCTATTCGTGGCTGGCTCAGTGTTCTTTATGCTTCATTTAATTTATTTGTGAAATGAGGACATTAATACCACCTGGCTTTACAGAGTTACTGAGAGATTTGATTGTTAGTAAAACAATCTGACATTCTCCTAAAATACATGCCTCTGGCAGAAAGGATGGTTTGGGAGATACTCCCTTACCAGGGTGTGTAGTGGCATTCTGAAGCGAGTAATGCAGACTGAAGAGTAGTGGCACATCCAGCTGTCAGCTATTCCAGATGAGAAAAAATATATTTGCATTCATTCTCTTTGCATTTCCCCCTCTTAGATATGTCAGTTCTCGAAAGACTGCTGGATGGACTTGAGGTCAAAGGGAGACTTGTGGATATCTAAGGGGGAACAGCACTTAATTTGTAATGAAAGAGAAGCAATTTTTATTACAGTCATAACTGATGCAGCAAGCCCAGAGGCCCAGGGCTATAAACTACCAAGTCTGGAGCAGCTGTGGCAAGCCCTGACACAAATTAAGCACTGGGAAGAAGGGGAGAGTCAAGCTCTATTGCTGTTTAAAAACGTAACAGTAGTCCTCCAACTGTTTAAAATGTGAATATGCTCTCATGGAGTGCTCTTGGATCTGTGGCGTTGTCAAGACTGATTCCCTACTCTGCAACAATGAATGCAGAAGTGGGGGTCTGCACATGTACCCCAAAACCTTATCTCTCCATGCTTTGATATAAAATTTCCCCCCCAAAATCCTAAACCT